TCCATAACTTGTTCTATCCGTAAAACACACCAAGGCAATACTAGAAAGACTCGTGAACCTGAAGCTGGAAAACCCCGACAGCGCTTCGGTCTTTGAACCCACCTCTCAGTTCCCTGTTTAATACCAAGCTGTTGTTCATTTTTACAAGTAATACAAAATACTTTTCTGAGCTAACCTGTGTTTCCCAGGGTCAGTGAATGCATCACTTCAGACGCTACTCATTAAAGAATATAAAAGAGGACAGAAGAGAGGTACCCCACTACAGGTCCGGTTCTAGGTTTGTTCTGAAGGGTCTGAGCTCTTCTCCAACACCTCGAGGACAGCTGATGAGTTTCATTAAGATATCCTCTGAAACCATCCAGTACCAGGACCAGGGTACAGAACCAGGACCAGGGACCAGGACCAGGGATCAGAACCAGGGACCGGGGATCAGAACCTGGGACCAGGACCAGGGCTCAGGACCAGGGCTCAGAACCAGGGACCAAGACCAGGGACAAGGGCTCAGGACCAGGACCAGGGACCAGGACCAGGGATGAGAACCAGGGCTCAGAACCAGGGACCAGGACCAGGGCTCAGGACCAGGGCTCAGAACCAGGGACCAGGGCTCAGGACCAGGGACCAGGACCAGGGATCAGAACCAGGGTAAAGGGCTCAGAAACAGGGACCAGGGCTCAGGACCAGGGCTCAGAACCAGGGACAAGGGCTCAGGACCAGGGATCAGAACCAGGGACCAGGGCTCAGAAACAGGGCTCAAAACCAGGGACCAGGGCTCAGAACCAGGGATCAGGACCATGAACCAGGGCTCAGGACCAGGGCTCAGAACCAACTTCTTTGACTCTGAAGAGCTTTTTCCTTGGAGATGAGTTCTGGTAAAGATGTCCTGAATGTCCTGGAGGTCCTGATGTTATTATTCGAGTCTGCGGTTCTGGGTGGGTCCCCCCTGTGAGGAGGATCTCCTTCTCTAGGTGATATGTGGTTTTATTACTGTGGACGGTACTGTGCTGGTTTTGGTCTGTCCCCTGAAGGTCTTATAGAACCGGTCCAGGGTTCTGCGTGGTTCCTCTGACAGAACAGTGTCACTTAAGGCAGGAGATGAGAACCTTATGTACTCAACACCTCACGCAGGTAATGTGCACATAATTAAAAACAGGCTTTAGAAGAATCTGGACCCTGAAGAGCAGAAAAGTTTAAAAATGAGCTGCATCAGTAAGACCCGTCTGGACCCTCAGTGACGGTCCTCTGAAGCTGGTGAACAGAACCTGGGGTTAAAGGAACCTGAGGAGGTATCGTAGAGGATCTGAGCCCAACTTCTGACTCAGGTATTGTAATAAAAGTGTAGTGAAATGGTTCCAGAAGGATGAGGACTCTGTTCTGTGAAAGGTTTAAACCCCGGTCCCAGCTGGTTCCGCTGCGGTAGTTTAAGGCACAGTGGACCTGGTTCTGATTCTGGGTTCAGGTCCAGGATGTCCCGCAGGTGTTAGCTCTGGGAGAAGACGGTCTGGAACTCGTTGAGCATGAGCTCCACGATCTGGCTCTGGAACACCATGTGCACCGTCATGTTGGAGGACTCGGTCTGCGGGCGCAGCAACGTGGGGCCGAACACAATGGAGACGCTCTGCACCGACATCCTGTTGGACTCCTTATGGTCCACCACCCTGCAGGCAGAGGGGGTTAGCATGGAGCATGGAGCATGGTGCATGGTGCATGGTAGCATGTTAGCATGTAGCGCTGCCAGGACTCACCTGCGCAGGTGTTTGAACAGCAGCTCCATGGTGTCGTGGTTGGGAAGAGGCAGAGAGCGGACCAGGTCCTTCATGTAGGAGACCCTCAGACTGTAGTCCTGGACCTCTGCACACACACACACACACACACACACACACACACACACACACACACACACACACACACCTTATTTAAATGTACAGACAGCTAGTTTTTTTTGTGTGTGTGTGTGTGTGTGTGTGTGTGTGTGTGTGTGTGTGTGTGTGTGTGTGTGTGTGTGTGTGTGTGTGTGTGTGTGTGTGTGTGTGTGTGTACTGACGGATGGCAGCGATGAACTTGTCGAAGCAGCTGAAGGGAAACAGTGGTTCAGGAAGTTCCCTCAGGAAGAGCTTTAGAGCTCCGGTGATGACGTGGATCTCCTCCCATTGACCGTCCTCCAGGTCCAGCTGATCCTCTGCAGGTTTAAATATCAGGTCAACACAACGCTACTGCTAACAGTGCTAACACACTGTGATACAACACTGATAATAGAGAGTTGCAGGAATCCTAAACCCTGACACAGACAGACAGACAGACAGACAGAGAGACAGACAGACAGACAGACAGACAGACAGACAGACAGACAGACAGACAGACAGACAGACAGACAGACAGACAGGTTGTCACCATGATCAGCTTTATGTCGTAGCCTCTGGATCACAGCCAGGTTTCCGCTCACTCTGTAGATCCCGTCCACATCCAGACCTGAACACACACACACCATTACTCATTGAACTGTGTGTGTGTGTGTGTGTGTGTGTGTGTGTGTGTGTGTGTGTGTGTGTGTGTGTGTGTGTGTGTGTGTGTGTGTGTGTGTGTGTGTGTGTGTGTGTGTGTGTGTGTGTGGGTGTGTGCGCGTGTGTATGCACGTGTGTGTTTGTGTGTTCATGGGTGTGTGTGTGTGCGCGCGCATGCACGTGTGTGTGTGTGTCAGGGACGTGCACAGACATTTGGAGGGGCTATTGCTCTAAACTGGAAAAAGGGTCTCCCCCCTTGTTTTTAATGTAAAAGGTTCATACAAATGTCGTTGTGTCCCTGAGACACTTCACCCCAAAGTGCTCCTCTGGAGATTGTCCACAGTATTGAGTATGTAAGTCTCTTTGGATAAAAGTGTCTAACAAATAGCGCGC